TGGAAAAAGTAGTAGATGGGCATTCAAGAGGTGAGATCTTTGCTGCAGGACTAAGTCATGTTCTCACCGATGGCAAAACCGGCTGGAAGATGAGGCAGAGCAGAGCAGAGCAAGTCTTAATGGTGCAACTTTGCTCTTCATCACTCTGCAAAGACTTCTTACCACCCAGGCACTAACCAGTTGTTTACTTTTGGCAAAAAACTGCGGTGATGCAGAGAGCCTTCGCATTTGTGATGGGTTGTGTTTAAATGCAGCATAAAAATTCATAGAGAAATAACTCTCCAGAATACTTTGGGACCCTGTATGTAATTTTATGTAATGCCTGGCTGTGATATGTCATACTATGCCAGCTGTGCCTGGTGGTGTCCACCTCAAGTCCATCTCCACCAACGGAGTCCACCTTCTCTTTTGAGGAGCAGTGGCATTGTTTCAGCATGGAAAATTCCAGGAAAAAAAACCACCCGAACTAGCATTCTTTCCTTGCCTTTGTTTTGGTTTGTTTCATTTTTTAGTCTGCTGGGGGGCAGCACAGATGAAGTGAGGCTTTTGGCAAGGCCAGTGGAGTGAGGAGAAGGGAAGTGGCTTTGTGGGCCGGGACGGAGGGAATATTGCATGCGAGGGCGGGGGCAACGTTAGGAAGATGTTACTGAGTCATTTGGATGATAAAGCCTTGGGTTGAGGTTAGGCTGAGGTAGAACTATGTAGGGGCTCTGAATGAAAGCCAGATGATGAAACTGGATATGGTAAAAAGCAATAAGCTGGGAAGGAGCCTCAGAAAGAGCATTGCCAGAGGACAGAGGTGGAGAAGGCAGTTTTCTTGCTATTGTAGAACTAATATTTAGTTACAGTAATAATATGGTGTATTTGTGTATCACCTTGCTGAAAGCATGTGCTTCACTATCAGCCTTTCCCCTCGAGATACTTAGATGTTTCATCTTAGAGAAATGCGTGTTGTAGAGTTTTGGGGGAGTTTGTTTTTTTTTTTTTGCTGTTCAGACTTCTGAAGCCTAACTCTGCTATTTTTCCTTTGAGTCCTGATGATCAGCCTGCCTTCCAAGCAGGACGAGGAACGGTAAAGCCATTAGCACACGTGCTGCAGGAGCAGCTCTGCTCTGCTCTGCTCAGTCCCCAGAAGGGCAGCGTGCCCCGGCAGAGCGTCCTGTTTTCCATTGCATGGCACCGCCCAGGCGCAGATGGGTGAGCCAGCTCCCGGAGCTTCCCTAACATCCACTGCAAACCCTTGGCCAAGTCACGCCGTTGTCACACCCTGGAACAGGCCATAGGTTAGATGCGAAGGTGCTTAATTTTATATTTAATTTTTTTCCTTTAACAAAGCAAACATTTACAGTTATTATTGTGAAACGCCAACCGAGTTTTAAATCAAAAAAAAAAAAAAAGCAAGCAAGCTCTGTCTTGATCAAAGCGCCGGTGCCCTGGCCATTTGCCCGATGGAGGGGGCAGTGGGGGGTGCAGTGTGGACACCTGAGGGGTACCTGAGGGCCAGGGACCCCCTCTCGGTGTGGGAACGGCTCCACAGAGCCACCGTCCTCACCCTTACACTACTTAATTAAAATACCTTGCGGAGGGACTGTTTACGATGGCAGCGCCAACCTGCCTGTTGTGCTTTTTGGTTTTCCTCTTTTTTTTTTTTTTTTTTTTTTTTCCC